GTTTCTTTTTCTTTCTTTCTTTCCATTTCTCCTTTTTCTTGTACATTAAAAAGTTGCCAAGGACAAAAGAATTGTGCCCCCCTTAAAACGCTGTTCTAACAACTCTTTCATTGGATGTAGAGCACCCTCTTATTCCACAGAGATTGACAGAAATCCAAATCCATATGTATGGGCAGGGAGGATAGGGAGAGGTTGGCTAACAGATACAACATTTCAGCTAGATAAGAGGAATAAGTTCTAGTGTTCTACAGCACTGTAGGGGGAATATATTAATTGTTAGCAATAATTTATTATATATATTCAAAAAGCTAGAAAAGAAGATTTTGAATGTTCCCAACACAAAGAAATAATAGTTTGAGGTGATGGATATGCTAATTACCCTGATTTGATCATCACACATTGTATACATATATCGAAATATTACACTGTTCCCCATAAATATGCATAATTATGTGTCAACTAAAAATAAAAATAAAATAATAAAATAAAATGCAAATTCTACCTGACTCCAAAAAGATTTGAGGGAGTTTTCAATATAAGTTACATCAGCGGCCAAGAATAATTAATGGGAGTTAAGCTGCATAATCAAAAGCAATTTTTTCTTCTTTCTGATTAACTAAAAGTACATTTGAGTCAGAGATGTTTTATGTTTTTGACTTATTTGCAACTCCAATGAACATACTTTGTTAAAACACACCCACATGGTATCAGAACCAGGGATAGGTTTTGTGAAATTATTTTTCCTTTTAGTGTCATTAACCAGTGCATTGTGAAATCCTGCTGAAATAGCAAAGGCTCACTTTTCCATGCAGCCAGTCTGTCTGTCCTCTTGCATCTGACCTGCGTCACACCCATCACAAAGCCATCTGCACTGAAGTCCCCGGATTGTGCAATCCCAAGTGCAGCAAACAGCTACCTGGAGCAACGAGGTCAGTACATTGACGTGTTTGCTGTTTTGGACCCAGGTCTGAAATACTATTGAGTTGGTCTACCTATACAGAGAGCAGTGATCCCTGTCCCTAAAATGCTGTTCTCAAGAGGCCATAGGATTCCTAGGGAATTGTCCTTAGAACGAAATTTAAATGGATACTTTCTTGATTCAGTGCCAACCAGGTGATTTTCTAATCAGTTTTCTGAGCTCCTGTGAGATGTTAAGCATTTTAACATCTGTGTATTTATTTCTCCATTCGTAAAATAAAGATAGCAGAAAGAGCCACTGTTGTGAGGGATTTTAAGCTGCTAAGGTGATTTTTATAGAATATTATGATGGGGGCCAGGCACAGTGGCTCATGCCTGTAACCCCAGCACTTTGGGAGGCTGAGGTGGGAGGACAGCTCGAGGCCAAGAGTTTGAGACTAGCCTGGCAACACAGGGACACCCGTCTCTACAAAAAAATAAAAAATTAGCCAGGTGTGGTGGCCCACACCTAGAGTCCCAGCTACTTGGAGGCTGAGACAGGACGATCACTTGGGCCCAGGAGTTTGAGGTTGCAGTGAGCTGTGATCTTGCCACTGCATTGTAGCCTGGGTGATAGAGCAAGACCCTGTCTGTTAAAAAAATTATGGAAGATGTATTCCAGGAGAAATAACTTCTAGTTCCTGCGGCCCTCTTGCTTTTAAAAGGAAGCCTTCTGAGAGGTAGTCCTGCACAGGGTGGCAGTTAAGAACCTGATCTTCAGAGCTGAGCAGAACTTTGTTGAGTCCAGCTCTTTCCTTAGCACTTGTATATCTCTGGGTGAATAACTTGACCTCTCTAAGCCTTGTTTTCTCCATCAGTCCCATTCCTACCGGCCATCGTGGTAGCAAGGGGACACAGCAGGCAAGGCAGACAAAGGACAGATGGCTGAGAGTTTGTGCCAAAAAGGTAACGTTGTAGATTATGGGTTAAAAATCTGAGTGAAATCTTAATTATTTTTTATAGCATAGATTGAGGCTGAGGGTTGCCAAGGGAAGGCAGGGGAGAGTGATGAGAGGTTGGAACCGCCCTGTGAGGAGAGGAGAGGAGAGGAAGGGGCTACAGAAGACAAGCCATGCACTAGGTTGGGGGCCAGCGGCCAGGCTAGGTAGGGCGCAAGCTACCACCTACGGCACCAGCCACGCACACAGTGGATTGCTCCTGAAGGCTGAGGGAGCGAAGGGAGTTCAAAGGAGCCAGTTCTGCAGTCATCCCACGGCTGGGGTTTAAAAAAGGTTCAATGACTCACTAAAGGTCATACAGGGACTTTTGCACAAGCATCCTGGTGCCAAGTCCAGTGCTCTTTCTAATCTATAACAAGAGATCTGGGTCTGTCCTGAATCAGGTTTCCCTTGGGCCTCATTTTCTTAGGCTGCAAGAGCCACTGGATCTGGTGACACTGCTAGTCCCTCTGTCCTCCAGGCTGGCTGTGGCAACGGTAGGCTCTGCTCCTGCACCTGCGTCCAACTAGTCATGTTACCTGTCTCTTTGGGCAAGTCATCCCAACTCCCTGGCTCGTTTCTGTAATTAAACTACGTTCTGGAAGCTCGAGTTCTTAAGTGCTGATTCTGAAGGATGCCCATTTATCAGGCGCTCTGATACCTTCACAGCATCTACTATTAGTACAGCCGGGAAGCTCTATTCAGTTGTGCACTCGTGTTAAGCACTAAGTCACACAAAATAATTAAGTGACATAGCAATAATCCAACAGCACATTCAAGCAAGGCTTAAAGTTGTAAAAGAAAATGACGCCAGGTTTTGAGGAAGAAAACACAGTGTAGAAAATGTAAATAAATACACTAAGGCTGAACCAATGGGCCTGGAAGGTGGTGGCTGCCTCTGAAGGAAAGCCAGACCCTTCAGACTGAGTAGGATCTGTTAGCTCTTTGTCTTAGGGCACTAAAGAAAATCACTTTACTCTCGGTATACAACAGCTAACTTGAATATTTTAAGCTTATTAATAAAATGCCAAAGAACCACAGATAAAACCGCTAATGCCTTCGGAACTAAAAGATCAGAGAGGCCGACTTAGGGTCACAGTTTCCATCAGTGTACTTTCAGGAATGTCATCAGTGGGGCTGGATTTCCTTAGCAGAGGATTGGGAAATGGCTTTTTAAAATGTTTTTTTACTGGCAAAAAGAATTTAATTTTCATCACTACAAGTCCACTATTTTCATACTCAATTATAATTTAATATTGAGGCCCTGAGTCCCCAATATAATTTCGCACTCCCTTATAATTTAGAATTAAGGCCTTTGCCTCCCAGCTAGGTTAAGCGGCTAGCGACAGCCCCAGCCCAGCGCCCGGGGCTGCAGAGCGGGTCTCGGGAACGCAGAGGCGGGAGAGCACCCCGGGGGCGCGGGCCCTGCGCTGGCTTCTGCGGCCGAGAGGGCTCCGCTGGGCTGGGCGCACCGCGGCCCCGCGCCCACTTCCGCTTCCCGGCGGGCTCGGCGGGCTCAGCAGGGCGGCACGGCGGCTCCAGGGGCCCCGGCTAGGCGCGGCCCGGCGCAGCCAGTCCCCCGGCCGCAGGGGCGCTCCTGAGCCGCGCGGGCCGACTGCGCGGGAGGGCGGGGCAGAGGGCAGGGCCGGCCCGGCCGACGTGGGTGTAAAGCGGACGCCCTGGCCGCAGACTTGGGGCCGAGAGCGGGCGGCGGAGCCCGAGCACCACGCGGCGGTGAGCGCGGCTGCGGGGAGCCGCCGGGAGGAGGGCGCGGGGCGGGCCTCGGCGTCGGGACGGCGTGACCTTCCCGGGCGGCCGGGGAAGCGGCCAGCGCCGCCGCACACGTGCTGCGGGACCAGCGCGCCGCGCCTGGGGTGGGCGGCCGGGGTCGCCGGAGACTGCGGGGTCCTTGGCCTTCCCGCGGTGCTTACCTGCAGGAAAGGTCGTCCTCATTTGCCCCCAAGTCGTGTCAGCTGGCCGCGGGCCTGCGCGCCGCCGGTGCCAGAGCGCCGGGAGCGCGGAGACGCTATGAATGGGAGCCGCGCGGGCTGCGGGGGGCGAGCCGGCCAGCGCTTGGGGCCGCGCGGACAAAGCTGGGAGTCGGCTCCCAAACCTGCTTCTCTGAGGCCCGGGGACGCGCGCCCGGCGGGCCCCTCAGCGGCAAAGCGGGTTCGCATCCCAGCGCCGGGCTCTGGTGGCGTCCTGCGGTCCCCGCCTTAACCTGAAGCTGGAATCTTCCCGGAGCAGTTCATGTTCCCTGGTGGAAAATGCGGCCTCATCAGATTCTCCCATCTGAAAAATTAACTTCCACAAGAATCGGGAAAGACGGTCGGCGCTGCTTTTGTGTTTCTGAGTCGGAGTGGTTTGGAAGAGGGGAGAAGGGTGCGGAAAGGATTCGTGTTTTTATTCCAATTGCTGCAGCAGGCTCATACACCAAGTTTAATCCACGCTGAACAGTCTTGCCGCCTCCAAGTCCTGTGTTTTCTCCTAGCCATAGCTGGACATTATCCGAATTAATTGCCCACTCCTTCTGGGTGAATCTGTTAGTACCCACCACTGTTTTCTATCCTAATGATTGTCCAAGTGGTTATTTCTAGGATTTAATGTGTGTGCTCGGTTCACCTCACAGGGTTGAGTTCATGTTGACAGATACAGTAGGATGCGATGTGACTTACTTTCCTTCCGACTTAAAGAAGTGTGCACACCAACAGAAATGAGCGCACAGAGGTTATCTTAGAGGCCACGTTGGATGTGCCCTGTGTGTGTCTCAGCTGCCTCCAGTTTTTTTTTTTTTTTTAATGCAGGGTTGGGAGTTCTGTGTTCTTTTCAGCCAGGTTAGAATACTCTGAAATTATTAGTTTATAGGCACAGACCTGAAGAGCAAGACTCTCTGAGCTGAATTCTGTCACTGACTAGTTGTGTGGCTTTGGAGACCTCTTGCTCCGGCCTCAGTTTTCCTTCTGGAGAAGGGGGAGGTTGGATTAGGGCTCTGATATCCTCTTCTAAGAAAGTTCCCGATGGCCACCACGTGTCAGCCTAATGAATGGTATTGTCTCTCCAGGCATATCAGTAAGGTACAAATCAGTGTCTTTCTAACTTAGTTGTTTTATTAAGTACTGTGCCTTTATTGTTGCTGGTTTTAAAATTTTGTAAAGAAAGGAAGATTCTTGGAGTCTGGTCGTTGGCAAAATGCTTTAAGGGGTTAAAAAACTTGCTGGCTAATGTTATTTTCCGTTGACGTTTAGGATGGCATTGGTGTTAGAAAGGACCTTGGCATTCATCTCTGACCCAGCACACCAGCCCTGTCTGAGAGGTGGGCTGACTGGGAGCACGCAGCTCCTCAGGGTGATGAGGAATAAAATTCTTCCTTGTTATTCATGAATAAGTTATTTACATGGTTTGGAAACCATACAGAATTGGTTGCTGAGTTGGTTATTTTCATTATCTACGTTAACGAGCCACCATTTCTTTTTCTAGTCAATATTTATTAAGTCCATGCCTCAGCAATGGTTGATTTTTTCCCTGAAGTTTGAGAATAGATTCTAGTTTTCCCAAACTTCTGGGCTCCAACCCAAACACTGAAATGAGATTTCCAAGAGAAAGGCCCAGTAATTTGAGTGTGTGATTTTTATCAAGCCAGTTTGGGCCTCAGTGGCTCAGGTGTTGCTCTCAAAGTATGGTTGTGTGGATTGGCATTATCAACCTCACCTGGGAGCTTGTCAAGACCGGCAGACTCCCTGGTCCTCTCTGAGGCCTATTGAATGAGAAGCTGCCTTTTAACAAGGCCCCCCAGGTGACTTGTGTGCACATTTAAGGTTGAGCGTTAGTGGACTATGGTGCGAGGAACACGGTGTTCTGTGCTGGGCTTTGTTGTGAGAGCACGTGATGTGTGTGCCCAGTTGAGCATCCCATCATTCCCACATGGGAATTGCCTTTGTATTGTGATGATTTTCTCACCCTGTGCTTTAGAGGCCCAAGGGTGGAACAGGCATTCACACCCAGGTGTGTGTGACTTGGCGCTCCTAACCTTTTCTACCTGAGTCCTCCCTTCCAGATCTGCTCTCTTGTGACACGCAGCACAGGCTGCAGTCTGATTTGAGAACTGATAGTTGAGTTTAGGCCTCTGAAAACCTATTCTGATGTGGTTAAGAAGTCTGTAGTTTGCTTATTTACTTGGTGTTCATTTTTAAGGTTCTCGGAAAGGCTGGTTGAAGTGCTGCTGGTGGCTGCAGCATTGCTACTCAGGGTAGGTTTTTGATCTGTGAGTTTTTTTTGGCGGGGGTGGGGGGGACGGTCAATTACTAATCTGCACTGACACTTTGAGCCCCCTTCCTTTGGAGCAATGTAGAGCCTATTTCCTGGCTTCCAGAAGTTCAGGTTCAGTAACTTGGGCTCTGGGTTAGAGAATGGGAGGCTGCAGAGGCTGGACTAATGGTGAATTTTTGCTTCCTCCCAGGGATATGCAGTGCCCATCATAAGCTCCAGAGAGTACCTTCCACGGAGACCAGCAGAGGAGTGGGCAAACATGAAGTCCAATCCTGCCATCCAAGCTGCCATCGACCTCACTGCAGGGGCTGCAGGTACAGTCATGTGTCATATAACAATGTTTCTGTTAACAGTAGACCACATATACAACAGTGGTCCCATAAGATTATACCTTATTTATACTATACCTTTTCTATGTTTAGATATATCAATACTCACCATTGTGTTATAATTGCCCACAAGTCAGTATAGTAACTTGCTATATAGATGTGTAGCCTAGGAGCAATAGGCTATAGATCCCAGGTGTGTAGTAGGCTACACCTGTGGTCCCCAACCCCCCAGTCCATGGCCTGCTAGAGACTGGCCCCCACTCCCCACTGTGGAAAATTTCTTTTCCATGAAACTGAGGAACTGGGGAGCCATATAGGAGGAGGTGAGCAGTGGGTGAGTGAGCGTATTTGCAGCTGCTCCCATCACTTCCATCACCGCCTGAGTTTCCTGCCTACCCACCACATCCATGGAAAAATTGTCTTCTGTGAAACTGGCCTCTGGTGCCAAAAAGGTTGGGGACCACTGGGCTACACCATCTAGATCTGTGTAAATATGCTCTGTGGTGTTCACACAATGAAATCTCCTAATGACACATTTCTCAGGATGTGCCCCTGTCTGTAAGCAACACATGACTATAATCCCAGAGAAAACCCAGTCCCTGTGGTCCTCAAGCACCTTCTAAGCAACATCAAGTGAAAGTGTTACGAACATATTGCCATTCGCCCCCCCAGAAGCAATATTCTTTAACCTCAGAATGAATCCATTTAATGGAAGTATAATATTGTTCAGAGCATGGCAGAAGGTAGAGTGGTGTTCGTTATATTAAACCTTTATGAGTCAGGGTTGACGGGTGGGAATGTCCCCAGTGCAGTTGGAAAACAGCTCAGAGATAAAGTCTCTTGTTCTTTGTCATACGGCTGGGTTATCCCAGCAGGTGGTGTGGGACCTCAAGCCTCGCAGTCTTCAGAACCATTGTAGTGCGAAAATAACACCATGCCATCTCTGCGGGGAAACACCAGTTACTCTTCTTATTCGTGTTGGGAAAGAAAGGACACCCTTTAGAAATGTCTTTAGAAATGAGGCTGATAGTGGACCGTCTCAGAGCCATGAAAGGAGAGGAGAGGAGGTAGGATTTGCTGGGCTGAGGCTGAGCATGGGGCCTGAACCCGAGGGCAGACTGCAGTGCGGTCAGCATGAAAGCTGCTTTGTAGAAAGATTACCTTGAAGATGCCATGAGAGCAGGAACCTTGGCCTGAGGCAAGTGAGGGAATTGGAAGTGCATGGTAGTATTTAGTTCTCCGAGTCCTGTGTTATCTCGGGGCAGAGGTGAAAGGGGCGCTGGAATGCTCATATGGTCCAAAGGAAAGCTTTGATCTGCCCGGCCTCCCACACCAGTTCTCACAGTGGTTGCAGCTTCCTGGAGTGGGGAGCTGGAGGGGTGTTGCCCAATGCTCTTATCCAGTGTGACAGGTGTGTTTAAGGGGCTGCCACCTCTCATCCTGTCATTTGCTCAACTGTGAAAAAGAGATCGTTGTTCAGAGAAGAGCAAAGTATTCTTCCATGATCAAAGGTTGGTTGAGGTAGGCTAATGAGGAAGGCTGGAAACAGCGAGTTGCAGATGTGGATAAGGAGCGCTGGGCAAGGACACTCCTGCTGGGCCAGAGCCCACGGGAGCGTCCTGGCCCCCGGAGCAGGGGACCTGAAGGACGGCTGGAGACCGCCCAGTGCTTCTTGTCCACTGCGTTCCTTGGGTCAGCCCCTCACCCTGCCTTGGAAGTGAGCTGCAGCCCCCGAGGCCCCACGGCCCGTCTCACCAACTCCCCACACCACACTGCGGAGGACACTGACCCTAAGAATGGTGCAGCCTCTGCCGCCTCTTACCCCAGGTGAACATGCTGGGCTCAGTGCTTGTCTCTGCGTTAGGAGGGTGTTTAACCACATGAGAGATTCTCAACTTTTGATGGTTTATGTCCTTCCGTCAGTGTGTCGAAGAGCTGAGATTTAATTGTGATAGAATTAAAAAGCTTACGTTTTCCAATTTACGTGCATATAAATGTTTGGATGCCACATTTATAATTTACGGTCAGTTTTAAAGATGTAAGTTGCAGCAGTTTTAAAGATGTAAATTGTTGGGAGCCTGGTGTGTGAGACATTTGCTGGTGGGTATGTTTTTCAACAATTATATTAACATGTATTGGGCTCTTATGCATGCTGACACAAGTTTCTGGTCATGTGGGTAGGTATTTCTCCTTATGCTAGCAACACAGGGCTGCCCTTCACTGATGTAGAGCTGCCATGGGTTGTCTAACTTCCAAGGACAAGAAGCCCCTTTGCAGGGGGGTTTCTGTGGGTTGGAACGGCAGAAGAGGTGCCCTTTAGTGACACAGGCACCTCTTTTCTACTGTAAGGCATGTGAAATGCAAATGGGAAGTAGTAGTTCCACTTTTGAGCATCTTGAAGTCTCTGAATGATGGAGCGGGAAGGCTCTGATGCTCGTGTATGTAGAAAAGAGGGCTAGAGAGGCACAGTGAATTTGTTCAAGGTTACACAGCTAGATGGCGTGAAGACAGGGCCGGGAGCTCAGGTTGTTGTTCGTTGTCTTTGTTTTAGCACTGTGTCAGCAGCATTCCCAGAGATGAGGGCAGGTTTCTTCACTGCCCTCGTTCTCTACGCGCAGAAACTGCTGGGCTTTGGGATTTTTCTGCCAACCATTGCCAGGAGCAGCGGACCCCTAGTTTTGTGGCCACAGCCCAGCCATGGGCGTATCAGACTATGCACGGAGCTGGCCATGGTCTGAGGTGATGGAGGTGGAGCATAAATATGCTCTCTCTCTTTTTTTTAAACAAACCTTTCCCCCACTATGTGGGTTTGCAGCCAGCTCATCTTCTGTGCTAGAAGTTCTCCTCCTCCCTATCTGCAGTTCTATAAGAGATTCCAGGAAAGGCTAGAGCCCTAGGCAGTTAAGGGAGGATTTGAAGAAGATAGGTAATGGATAACTACTGAAATGAGGCAGCATGGGTCCCAAAAGTTAAACCATCTTAAAGGGAAACTTTGGTAGCACTTTAAGAGTTAGTCATTTAACAACTCTGCAGTAATGCAGTCACGACTTTGACCGCTCTTGTTGCAGTGTGCCTTATTTAGCATAGTCGGGGAATGCGGTATTTCAGATCATTGAAGTTTATCCTCTCAAATGCCAAAATTAAAAACCACCTCCAAACCCTTTTTGATTGGAATATCTTGAAAACGATATGCTTTCCTGGGCCCTGTGAATGTGAAATGGAACCTTTATCGATGGCCTCCAGAGGTGTGTGAGGTTCTCACTCGGTTCAGGTGGGCAGGGCAGACCAGGTCTTTTTGGTGTGAGTCTGCTTCTCTGTGCTCACGTCTGCCCTCCCCAAGAGCTGTCCCCCTCCCCCCAACACCGTCCCTGCCATGAAGGATTTCCTCTGTACCTCGTGACTTGCTGACTCTGCGTTGAGGACTGAAAATGCAAATGCCAGCCTTCGTAAAGTGTTGGGTGTTACGTGGTCTGAGTGCCTCTCCTGTGACAGGAGATGTGTGGCTGGCTGTGACAACTCCTAAAGAATGTGTTCATTTGTCTTTTAAAGAGAATAAGATGATCAAAAGTCTGACTTTTGTGGAAGTGGAGAAATATTTAATCCCTCTCATTCCTGGCTTTATTGACTTGATAGATCTTTGAGAACCTACTAGGTGTTGGCTCTGTGGTTGGTGCTGGTGTTCAGAATAGTCTTCACTTACTTGAGGGGGGCATGGTGGGTGCCGTGATTGTGTCATTTGTGCTAAGTTCCATAGGAAGTTAGCTTACCTTTACAGACGAGGAGAGGAAATCGTAGCTAGCATTTTCACATTCACTAGCCTTCCCCCTTTTCCCTCTTGGAAATGTAGCTGTCATACAGCAAATGCATCTTGTAATAACCTGTGATGTCTGGACCGTCAGGATGATTGAGTTGAAATAAGGAAACCCTCCAGTGAAAACATTAAGGTGCTGAATTAAATGCTTTTTTCAGCTTATCTGCATCTAGTTTATCTAAATTATGTACTGGCTTTAAAAATTCCGAGTTACCTCTTCTTTTGGAATAATTAAATTATTTTGATACAGTGTGGGTCTCATTTTACCTAGCCCAACAGTATCTGGGAGAGAATGACTGTAAATTAATCATAGTAAAATTATGTTAAATTACATTCCACTAATTCAGAATTGGGGATAATTTGGCAATTCAAAGCGGAAATGTGTCATTCCTTTCCTAGAGGAAATGAATGATAATGATGGGATCACAGAGATTATACTTTTGGTTGATCAGTTTTCAAGCTCTTTGGAATGTCCATTTATCTGCCAATAAATAATTGAGAAGGTTATTCTTAATGGCCCCTCTCCATTCTCTACTTTCCACAGTTTAGGTGGTATGATGATGTAAAATGTCAAAGTTAGGAAATTGCATTTCTTAAATATTTTGTGTAAGGCTTTTCTTCCATTTAGATGAAGCTTTAATAGCCTTGTTAAGTGGTTGTGATGTTTCCTAACACAAGCAGGGGATGTCTGAGTTGCGGTGTCCTCTCAGGCCCAGGGAAGGTGGTAAACATTAACCTGTGGCAGTTCTCGAAATGCTGACCCCTGTCCGGGCTCTGGGGCGATGGTAGGGTGGCTGCAGTTCATTCCTTTCCCTACATACAGGATTCTTATTGACGTGATCTCATGCAATTTAGACTTTGCTGTGTTTAATATTATTACAGTATGAAAGTGTATAAGTATAGGATTTATGCTAAGCAAAAGTAAATTTCAGTGCATTCCCTATCTAAAAATAAATCATTAATTGGTAGAGTTCAAATTAAAGAGGTTTTTCCATAGGGTCAGGTATTTAGCTCTTCAGGGTTAATTTGCTAGACTCCTTGTTTTTACTTGATCTTAGCCAAAAGGCCAAGAAACAACGTTTCTTGTTTCCTTTGTCTGATGTCCAGTCCTCTGCTGCTGTTCTGACTGTCACCAGCCCACTGGGCATTAGGCACAGTGGAGTGACTAACTCTCCCCAGGTTTCCCCTTGCCCTCTCGTGCCTCTGTCTCTCGTGCACGCAGTAACTGCTGTTCACTGAGCACTGGTTGTGTAGCAGGCACTGTGCTAAGCCCGTCTCCTCCACTTGTATTTACTCCTTGCGCTAACCCTGTGTGGTGGGCATGGATGAGGAACTGAGGCTCTGATGTGGTATGGCTTGTGCAGGATCTCGCAGCAAAGCCAGGCTTCAGCACAGGTCCCTCTGACCCCATTTCCAGGGTTCCCAAACACACGCTGCGCCTTTGCATCCTGTCACTTCGACCGTTGAACACGTCTGTCTCCCTTGCCGAGCGTGAGCTCCTTCCGGGTGGGATGTGGGTGCTGGGCACATTAGGGCCTGCCGTAAGTTGTTTGCTGGACTCAGCTGGAAGGGGAAAAGAGGTCGAAACAAACTGAAGCAGGGGTAAGCCCTGGGGTAGGCGGCTGTGCCTCCTTTCCGTGGGTAATTGAGGCTGTGCTCGGAAACGAAACGGTAGCTCGTACTAAAGCGGACTTCTGTCCTGGTTCCAGGGGGCACAGCGTGTGTCCTGACCGGGCAGCCCTTCGACACCATGAAAGTGAAGATGCAGACGTTCCCCGACCTGTACCGGGGCCTCACTGACTGCTGTCTGAAGACCTATGCCCAGGTGGGCTTTCGCGGCTTCTACAAGGGCACCAGCCCGGCGCTGATTGCCAACATCGCCGAGAACTCTGTCCTCTTCATGTGCTACGGCTTCTGCCAACAGGTGGTACGGAAAGTGGTTGGATTGGACAAGCAGGCAAAGCTGAGGTGAGGCAAGGACACTGACGCTTTGTTTAAAAAAATCCGCACTGTTGTATGGCCACAATTTTAATGATACCCAATAGGAAAGAACATTTCCTTTTTAAAACTAACTACTTTCTTTTTGATTATGAAGTCATACGTTGTCATCCTGTAAAACTAGGAAAAGCCATATGCATTACACAAAGGAGATGTGCCCATAGTCCACCACTGAGAACAGCCACCCTCCTGGCTTGGTATTGTTCAGGAGAATGCGTTCCGCACGCTGGGAACCGTGCTCCCTCTCTCGTCCGCAGAAGAGCTGGGCTAAAACCACAGATGCAACTTTCCACCAAAGTTTTAGCTTTCATTTCATCAGCAAAATGCAGGGTAGTGGGAAAGGTTGTCTGAGTCAAATAGAATGAGGAGAAACTTGGAATTTTAGGAAGCATGGGACACATCTGAGAAAATGCAGATGAACCCAACTTTCTATGGCTGAGTCTTCCCTAAGCATCAGACTTTGGCTTGTGTTTGGTCTTCCCTGGGGTATCTACCGTACAAAGACAAAAAAGAATTGGGAAACAACCATCCCTCCTTTGAACATTGATTTATTTTAAATCATTTACAATTATAGAAGCGTCATGGCTGCAAAGGGCAGTCTCCGTTGTTTCGATAGGAATTTGAAACCGTGTTGCAACTGCAGGTCCCACATGACTGAAGTAGGTTCCTTGTGTACAGAAGTGTTCTCTGGAGCTGCTTAGAGGTCTCAAGATGTGCCCTTTTATATGCAAGAATTTGATCATGATGGACAGAACTTGTTTTTTAAGGCTTGGGACCAGATAAGATCACCTAAGGAGACAGAGTAGATGGGGAGAAGGGCTGAGGGCTGATCCCACGGCTCTCCAGCACGGAGGGCAGACAGGAAGGAAGAAGTACAGAAATAAGCAGGAGATACACCAGGAGAGTGTGGCATCTGAACAGAAGCAAAACGATAGGTGACTGTAGTTTTGTTGCCCATTGAGGGAGAGACGTTCTATTTGAGGAGATTGGGAATTTCATTCTCCTTCAGCCTCCCTAGCTAAGGACGAGATGGGGAGAGAAGACAGCAGAGCTCTGTCCTCCCCTCTGAGCAGGGTAGCTCCCTGGCCATAGGACAGAGACGGTGACTTCTGCCTGCTCGCATCAGCAAGACCATTAGGGATCAGGCACTGCCTGCCGCTCTCCATGTTTTTCCTTTCTTAGCCTATGAACAGCGTGAAGACGAGAACATACTGCTTTTCTGATGAGGAGCAATCCAATACTGTACAGCTGCATTTCCCACACCATCTTCAGAACACTGAGTCGGTGGGTGTCCTTAAGAAAGGGTTGGGAAATATGTCGTAGTGTACCTCTTGTGAGGAATTGCTCTGGTACATTAATCCTGTAGCATACATGTTCCTTAGCTTGTTAAAGACGCTTGGGAGTTCTATAGTAAGGAAACCATCCTGTTCAACATTGTCTAACTTAGCACTCCAATCTTTTTGAGATGGGGGCTTTTTTCTTTTTCATCCTGAAGAACAGTGTTTGCTTGTTACCTGTTAGGGAAATGCTACCTCAGAGCCTACTGAGCTCTGACACAGATATCATGTCTTTGTAGCCGTTGCCATTAATCTGCGAGGAGGAAAGCAGGTGTTATCTCTGTCTTGCAGACGGGGAAATGAAGGTGTAGGTGTTGACAAGCTGAAGATCACCCAGTGGGACTCAAACTCATGTCTTTTGAACCCCTGCCCAGTCTTCTTTCCAGCAGACCACAATCGGGGCTCTGGAATATTTCGTGAGGGTCAGATTTAGAGAGAAATTTAACCAAGAGCAGCAAAAGGAAAGAACTGCTTGTGAGAGCACATTATGAATTTCTGCAATCACATTGTAAATATTTGTCTGTTCCCAGTTTGAGCACGACCCAGAGTGGTAGTCCACTTTGACCTTTGGCTGGATGGGGTCTGACACAGCAGGAGTGTTCAGGTGCATGTTTGTTGAATAGATGACAAACAGTGGATTCTTACAAAATCCCCTCATACGCCTATTGCCATTTCAGTTCCAGTTCTACACCTTTATACTACACACACAACCAGGGGCCCTGCACCTCATTTTATGCCCTGGCAGATGAAAGTATTTATTAGAAAGCCAAAGTCCACTGCAGCTCTGATCTGGCCTTGTCCTCGCACTATAGTAATGTGCTTGGTGTTCATTCAGACGTCTAAGTCATCATCACATCTTAGATTGAATAGACTTCTACATTTATCGTCTGCCAATTTTGTTTTGGCAAACTGGTTAATGACCCTAATTAACTGTTGCCTGTCAACAGGTTGACAGAGAGTCCCCAAGAGAGGCCAAATATTGATCTGGGTTGGCTGAAAGACAGCAGAAACCATTTTAAGCTTTGGTTTTAACAAATGAGCAAAGAAGGAGTGAAGTGAGGAGGAAGGAACAGACCGAACGACATTGGATGGTTTCTACACACCATAAAACCATGTGCAAGTACATTTGTGTCCCTGGCTCGCCTTGGTTAATGGTCATAGGTTTAATTCTCTAAAATCAAAAGGAAGTTCGCTCTGCAAACATTGTCCTCCTTATGAGAGAAAGCCCGACTGCTAGCCAACTCTTCTAAGAGGCTGGGGTTGTGAGAGGCTGGCTCCGCCCCTGGACACCCCGCTTGCGTCTGTCCGTGGCACAGAGGCTAGAACACTAGGAAACAGGAAACCGGAGCCGAGACCAGAGACAGCCTTGGTTTTATACTAGTTTTTGACACTGGTGAAACTTTAGGACTATTGAATGTGGTAGGTCCTTTGGGCTTTTGCTCACAGTTTGAAGAAAAATTGTTAGGGGATTGAGTCTCTACCACGGGTAGCTAGCTGAGGGGATTCCCACCCAGGGGGCTGCTGGAAATGTGTGAGGATGATCTTGGCTGTCCAGGGACAGCAGGATGGCGGCGTTTAATGGGTGAGTGTCAGGAACAGTTTAGTCCTTCCCGCCCAGTAAAGGATTGTCCCACCCCAGATGCCACCCATGCTCCTGTGGTGAAACTCATGCTAAGACTGGAAGGGATCTTCTTTTCTGACTCCCATGAACTCTCAGAGAAGTGTTACTGATTTCCTGAGGAAAGTTTGTCAGACGTTCCCCCATATTCTTGAATTCCTTTGGATTCCAGTTTCCCAACCCTGCTGGTGGTACTAAGCCCATGTGAGATGAGGTAAATGCTTCTATTTTTTTTTTTAATTTCAGAATATTATGGGGGTACAAACATTTTAGTTACAAGTAATGACTCTGCCTCACCCAAGCCAGGGCTAGAAGCGTGCCCTTCCCCCATACAGTGTGCTCCATCTCCATTAGTTGTGAGTTTACCCTCCCACCCAACTGACCAGCACCCAGCAAATATTACTACCATGTGAACACCGTAGTGTTGATCAGTTAGTAACAATTTGATGGCGAGTACATGTGGTGCTTGTTTTTCCATTCTTGTGATATCTCACTTCAAAGGATGGGCTCAAGCTCTATCCAGGATAATATAAGAGGTGCTAGATCACCACTGTTTTTTGTGGCTGAGTAGAACTCCATGGTATACATGTACCACATTTTATTAATCCACTGACATATTGATGGGCACTTGGGTTGTTTCCACGTCTTTGCAGTTACGAATTGTGCTGCCATAAACATTCGAGTGCAGATATCTTTTTTATAGAATGTCTTTTTTTCCTTTGGGTAGATGCCTAATAGTGGGATAGCTGGATCTAATGGTATTTCTGTTTTTAGCTCTGAGGTATCTCCAAATTATTTTCCACAGGGGTTGTACTAATTTGTGGTGCCACTGGCAGTGTAAGGGTATTCCTATCTTTCCACATCCATGCCAGCATTTGTAAATATTTTGGGACTTTTTGATAATGGAGTTAGGTGATACCTCA